AAAAACAAATGCGAGAATTTACATATCTCGTATGAATTCCGATGCATAGTCATAGTCGAATTAGCTTTACATACAACGAGTGCTCAAAAAGTTTTCAGATTAGGGGCGGCCATGTAAATACTTGTGTGTTTGATTAAACTGCAAATGCATAACATTATTTGTACGTATTTTAATAATATGAGTTTTTGACATCTGCAATTTAATCAATGACCACTCGTTATTTGGTTATTGTATAAGTCAAATAACAGACAGAATAAAGGATAAAAGGAATTCCTGTATGTATAATTATCTTCGTAGGAAATTCTGAATAAAATATTGGGTAGTTTCAAGCCATAATGCGCAAGACTGTGTGATAATTAAAGTTTTAGCATAGTTATTAAAAATCATATCAGATATTATAAGGAAACACTGTCTAAAATCAAACTCTTCATCAATTGTTGGTGAAGTAAAAATGTTTCTGTTATCTGCAACTGTTTTACACATCAACTCACAGGGATAAAATTTTATCAGCCCACTGAACAACATCCATCTTTTCAGCAATTTTCCAATAAATCTTATTTTAGAAGCTATCATGTATAAATGCGTCCTCGATACGATATTCCATTGCATCTGAGCACCGCACTTTATTAGTAGATCATGTAACTAGTTGTTCACTTATTTTTTTAACAATGTAACACTGCATCTTTAATCGCATGTAGAGTCTCAACTATCTGGGTGATACTGATAAGTCTGGTTTACTAAAAACCGCTTGTGTCAACTAAAGATAAAATAGATTTTATTTTAACAACCGTTTTGTATATTTGTTGTATTCCTAATTACAAATTTGAATTTCATTTTTTGCTATCACGTAAGGTTAATTTGGAAAAATGTACGAAAAGCTAAAATTTCAGAAATCCACAATTTTAAAGAAAAAATAGTTACTTATTTTGTATATACATTTTTTATATGTTAACAAAAATACTTTTAACCATTTATTAAAATAAAAGTCTTTGCGAAATCGTTGTCATTTCTCTTCAAAAGTTTAAACTTTTTCTCCTGAACTTTTTGTGGCGCTCATCATTATGATTTCAATTTGAACTACTTCTTCATTTTTGACTTGTTCAAACATCTGACAATCATAATGCAATGCACTTTAAATATATTACTCCATTTCAAACCGCTGAAAGCTTACTATTGTATTTTTTACAAAGCGAAAACCTGGAATTTTTGGTTTTGATTTTTTTTTTTTTTTTTGGAAAACTGAACGCGTTGGAATTATTTAACTATTTTTACGATAATTAGCATCCACAAATATGTCAGATTCGATAGCTTGTTTTAAGACAGGTTTTTCATCGCAAACCTGTGTGATTAACACGTATCTAAAAATTGGTCAAAATTGTTTCGGCTGAACTTCCCTCACATCTAAAGTACAATGAAACATATCAATCATTTTCGGATTGAGTTTACAAGGATACGTATATCAGCTTAAATTGGTGCAGTGTAATACTAAAAATAACAATATTGTATTCCCAAAATTTTCTGGGAAAATGGAGTTCCTGATTCAATCAATAAAATAAATTAACTCATGCATTAATTTTTTGAGTCATCCTGTAAGTAAATCTAAAAATATAACTGCAATGATAAAGTAAGTAAAAACTCATCATATTTTGCACATTTTGAGTAGAATTTACTCGGCAAAATTTTGAGATGGCGTCATCATTTTTTTGGAGGGATTAAACAAACATATTTTGATTAACTATTTACCATGCTTAAAACGTCTGCAAGATTTCAAAGCATTTGGTTTTGCAAATCCTGATTTTATCAATAAAATAAATTGACTCAGTCAGTTATTTTTTTGAGACACTCTGTATAAGCACATCTAAAAAATATTACTGCAATGATAAATTACAAGTATCATAAAAATATGAGCAAAAGCACATTTACGATAGGATTTATTTCGTAAAATTTTGAGGTGACTTCATCAATTGCTTGATGGGGATGAGCAAATACATTTTGATAGAAAATTTACCATGCTTATGATGACTTTAAAACATTTTAAAGCCTGATCTAAAAATATGAATAAAATACGGATGTAGTGATATTTACATATTACCAATCCAAAATACAATGAGTCTACGCTTTATAGAGAAATTTTGGACATTTTAGATAGGATCTATTCGGTTAAATTTTGAGCTGACATCATAAATTTTTTGTAAGGGATAAGCAAATATATTTTAATTAAAAATGTATCATGCTTATTATAATTTTAAAACATCTGCAAGATTTCAAAGCATTCGGTTTTGCAGATTCAAAATTTAATTGCAAAATGTTGTTTTATAATTTTGAATTTTTTTTCCAAAAATGTGGACGTTTCTGGTAAAAACTCAACACGGAGTCATAAACTACATGTGTAGGACTACGTTATTGTATACAATTTAAAACCAATTTACTATGTACAATTTTGAAGTGACGTCATCACGTTATTGGTGGGAATGATTAGACAAAGTTTTGATTAACATTTTATCATCCACATGCTACTCATAATACACATATAAAATTTGACAACAATCGGTCCAGTAGTTTCGGAGATTATCTGTCTAATAAAAATCCGGACAGACGGCCGAAAGACAGACAGACATACAGACAGCCAGAAACGGGGATCATAAACCGTCGAGAAAACGTAAAAGTAGAGAGTCAGTTGAGGGACTCGATTACATCAATACTTCCTTCTTGTTACATGTTGTAAATTCATATCAGAAAAATGTATATATCGATTATTTTAAGATTAAAATTGTGTTATTAATGATATTATTACTTCATGGGCGTAAGCTAACGCCACTTTCATGTTTTCTCGACGTTTCATGACTTCTAGATTATGAAAAAGTGGTCTCCGTCTCCCTGTTGTCTGTCTGTTTGTCGATCTGTCTGTCTGTCTGTCTAAATCAATTTTTATTACATAATCCCCGAAACTATTGGATCGATTGTTGTCAAATTTTGTATGTATATTAGGAATGTAGATGGTAAAATGCTAACCAAAATTTGACTAACCACCTTCAATGCGGGAATATTGGCAATACGTCATCACCAAAATTTACTATATATTTTTTTTAATTTTACATAATAAAATACTCCTGCACTTGTGATGTATGAATCCGTGTTGAGTTTTCGCCCTAGACATCTAGATTGTTGGAAAAAAACAAAATTTTGTAATAAAAAGATGCAGGAGCAAGAAAATGGATCTGCTTAACCTAGTGTTAGATGCTACTGTAAGAAAAAGTAATATCTAGACGACTGGTGTAATTGATCATCATAGACAGCAATGCATCGCAAACCCAGTTTATCAGTATCGGAGAAAGAACATTGAGACGTTTTCACAAGTAGCAAAAAATTATGTTCTTATGTGTAGTAAAAGAACAAAAAACAAGATGCAGAAGTACCTGAAGAAAATGAGCGTATCAAGCTGACAGTATGTAAAAAAAGAATAGAACATCGAAAAAATAGATGAATTTGATTACCTTGAAGTTACGTTAACGAGCAAGGTACAGGAAGGAACAGAAATAGACGAAACAATTTTGAAAGAAACCAGAGCAGTAAGACCACCAACAACAAAATACCACAGAATAACTAGCAAAATAAAGTTACGAATATACCTACATATAAAACAATTAATTATACATACCAGGATTTCTATACATCAACGAAATGTAGGTATAAGTTACTTCTGAGTAAGCAAAAAGAAGCATAACTAGAAATATGGAAAAGAAAAGCCTTACAAAATATCTTTGAGGGAGGTAAAAGAGAGAATGGGGATTTCCGAAGAAGAACAAACCAACAAGTACAAACATGGTCAAAATATCCAATATTACAAAAAAAAATAAATAAATAAATAAAAATACCACCACAAAAAGTTAAATGGTTGAGGAAAAAGATGTCTCAAAAGTTTTAGAACGATAAGTTGGAAGACAGGAAAGGGACGCCGAAGAAAGAAATGGTTGGAGATAGTGAAGAGATATAGAAAACGCAGGAGTATAATATCATAATTAATCTACAAATAAATGCTATTCCTTAACCATTAATGCTGAAATTAATTTTGCTTACAAGAACCCAACTTGCAGTCAGTAAACTAGTTAGTAAACTAAAAAATATATTAACGAATTTGAAGTAAATTTTTCATACTCCAATATTTTGTAACAGTTTATAGAATTTTATCAGTATACGATTTTTGGGAAATACTTTTAAAAGCCTAACCACATTTGCAACTCCAGGGAATAAATTCGTTGTGTTCCAAGTGCAAAGCTAACATACGTCAATACAACAAATAGATATAATATATAATAATTCTTTCATGATACTTTCATTAAGTACCTATCTAGTTTATACTGTTAAAAAGAAGAAATATAAATACTATTGTTAGAGAGAATTAAATAACTGGCAACTTACTCATTCATTATAAAGAATCATTTATAAAAGTGCAATAATTTTCATATTAACTTCATCCAAATTTGACGCTGGACGTATCATACTTTATTAAATATGCACCATTATCACCACTGAATCCTGCTGAGAAAGTTCTCCCTGTTTTTCATTTAACGAAAGTTATTTATTTTAGAATACTTAGTACAATAGTAGATAGTATAATTATATAAAATATGTATATAAAATGTTACGTTCACATTTTAAATATAAAATTTTTGTTATCTTTATTAAACATTTTCAGTAATTACACTTTTGACAAAAAAAAGTTATTACATGGTAACACCGTGTTCTAAACCGAAAAGTGAATTAGTATACTTACTTTTAGTGTCCCCTGTGTTATACTAAATTTTGTAAACACAAAAACTGATTTGCATGTTACTCATTAAAAATCAGAACAGTCTGTATGCATTTGTTCAAAGTTTTAGGGTAAGTCCTATTTATGTATTTTGAACGCTTTAGGAAATATCAAAAACTTTGTTTAGTTAACTGTAGAAAGTTAACAATTTTCTCGTAACACTTTTCAAAATGTTCATTGTATATTGCAGGTCGACTTTAGCGTTCCGTTTATGGAAACGGGAATCGCAATAGTTGTCGCCAAACGTACAGGAATAATTTCACCAACAGCATTTTTAGAACCTTTTGATACGGCCTCCTGGATGCTCGTCGGTGTTGTTGCTATTCAAGCGGCAACTTTTACGATCTTTTTGTTTGAATGGTTATCACCTAGTGGATTTAATATGAAACTGGCTTTAAATCAGGTATGTATGTATGTTTTTCGTACTCGGTGTAACATTTTTGATATGTAAAAAAATTGATTTACTACTTTTAAATTAAATTGTTTTAATATTATTATGTAACAATAAAAATTCTTTACGAAAAGCGTTGTTAAGATCTTGTCAGGTTCCTAAAATATTTCAACAGTTTAAAGAAAAACACATATAACGTAGCTGCAACATAAAATTCGAGTAATAATGAATAATATGTTTTAATGTCTTACTATCGCACATGGCAGTGTTAAAGGCTGTATTAACTGAATTTCACTAAACTATAGTAAAAGAGTTGTCACATGGACAAATTTTAGTCTACTGAGTTACTTACAATAAATATTCGTACGTAGCAGCTGCACAATCGTTGGCAATACCTTTAAATCAATAAGTTAATCCAATGAAAAATGCCAAACAACTTTTTACAGGCCGCCCAGACATTCCAGAGTGTGGAGACGATGGAGATAAATACCCCTCTAGATGTTTACATTGTTCTTAAAAATTTTACGTCTCTCCAACGTACTTTACACAATTCTGATATTTTCGTTAAAACCAACAAGTGTAGGTACTGAAAATGGTACAAGTAAAAAATAATCTGAAACGTCAACAATTAATATATTTTAGTTATCTGTTTAGACAACGAATCAGTAATTGCCAAAATTTAAAACGTTATTCCGCTAGAAATATCTGATCGTTCGTAAGTTTCTCGAAAAGTATGGTCGAACTGATCAGAGTAGGTTAGTAGGAGAAATCAAAGTAGTATTAACCGATGCATGGATAAAATGATCCCTAGAGAATAATATCAGCGATAGGTCATTAATATTAATAACAGCAATGCAAACTGAAATTATTGAACTCAACGCCAGTTAGGTCCAGATCCTCGACACAAGGAACATTCGCCACTGAGGATGCGTCCTTCTACGCTGTAAAAGATGAAAATCCTAACAAAAAATTTGTCTGCTTAATATTTTTTTATTTTCTGTCGATGTTTCGGGTATCAATTAGTCAAATACTTTATAGATTTCCGTCCTTCACATTACTTGACATTGGTAATATTTTCCTTTACACTAGTAAATGTTAATTAATGTTCGTTTGATTCATTTGATTCATTTCATGACACTTTAAAAATGTATATTAAATAAACAAAACTGAAAAATTAAAAATATAATAAGCCAACACTGTTTTCAATGTCTGTACGACAGAAAATCATTTAGTTCACAATATGTGTGAAAAGCAACCAGGGAAATGAAGAGTCACAAAAAATTATGGTGTCATTTCATTATATTAAAAACGTAGGTAATTACAAAATAAATTTTCACAGGGGATTTATGTTTTTCAGTAAATATTGTCTGTAACATTACGGAAATTGAAACCTAAAACATACACAATAATTATAAAGGCCACTCCTTACCTCTACCTAAATTTAAAAAATTGGTCTAAAGAGTACTTCCCTCGTTGTCGGAAACATGACGACTGCATGCCTATTTTGTTTTTTTTTCTCATTACATTTTTGTAGCGGGATAATTTAAAAAAAAATTGCGATGAGGTCATCAACATTTTGCAAGGACACGTATACCAGTTTGGATAGATGTAGTGTAATACTAAAAATAAAAGTACTGTATTCCCAAATTTTCGAGAAAATGAATTGGGTCGTCTTGAATATTTATTTATAATCAATAAAATAACGAAAGAATTTACTCACGTATGCCGCGTGTATTAGCAGAAACGACTCAGAACCATTTGTGTACAAGCATTCTTAATTTAAGACAACAAGCGGTAACACTTGTTAAGATTGTACACGTGAGAGTCAAACAGAGAAATTGCAAACAATACCGATGGTTACCCAGACTTTTTTATTGCTTCGACTTCCACTTATTATATAAAACATTGGATTTTATTTTAATTTTTGATGGTGTAATTCACAATTGGTTGATTATAACATGTCTATATCACATTCACGGAACCTAGTCAGTGCAACAAAACAAATCCATGTCTGTAATGTTAAAGTAAATGTAAATAAGCGTGCTACGCCTGTTTCAAACGAGTTTTTACTTTAGAAAACTTTATGTCTATCAAATTGGGTTGGTGCAATGTAATACTAATAATAACAGTGTTGTATCTCCAAATTTTCGGGAAAACGGAGTGAACTATTCCTGATTTAATTAATAAAATAAATTGACTCATTCATTAATTTTTCTGAGCGACCTATTAAGCAAATCTAAAAAATATGAATGGAATGAAAAATCACGAGTACAGACTCATCATATTTTGTACATTTTAGATAGGACATTTTCAGTAAAATTTTGGGGTGACGTCATCAATTTTTTACGGGGGATGAGCAAATATATTTTGATTAAAAATTTACCACGCTTATGATAACTGTAAAACATCTCCAAGATTTCAAAGCATTCGGTTTTGCAGATTCCAAATTAAATTGCAAAATATTGTTCATAATTTTGATGTTTTTTTATTTCAAAAAATCTGAACATTTTGCGTAAAAACTCAATTCGGAATCATAAACTACATGTATAGGACTATGTTGTTTTATACAATTTAAAACCCATTTACTATGTTCGATTTTGAAGTGACGTCATCACATTATTGTTGGGGATGATTAGGCAAATTTTGGTTAGCGTTTACCATCTACATGATATTCCTAATATAAATACAAAATTTCACAACAATCGGTCCAGTACTTTCGGAGATTATCTGTCTAATAAAAATCTGGGACGGCAGACAGACGGACAGATGGACAAACAGACGGAAAGGGGAGACCTATTTCTTCGTCTTCTAGGGATCATGAAAGATCGAGAAAATGTAAAAGTAGAGAGTCGACCGACGGATTCGACTACAATGCTTCCTTTGCTTACGCTCGGGACGTAAAAAGTAGCATATTTGTGCATACAATTTTAGATATTTCAACAGAACACCCGCATTTGTTCTGAGTGACTAATATTAGGCAAGAACATTCCAAATATTCTATAATGTATGATCTATTAGACCAAGAAAGAATATTACATCTTTATCACTATTAGTTATCGTGGTAACATTATTTCTGAAAGAAATATTCGAAAAGAAGCTATTTATTTCTTATATCAAGACTGATACAGGGTGGCCCAACTAAAACGAAACAGGCGAGACCATATTTTGATTCAAGAGGGGCGTATAACGTTACTATTTTAGTTCTTTTACCTTCACCCAGGAACAAGGGGCGGCTATCCAGTCAAATATCTTAAATGATGCTATGGATCAAAGGGCATCTTGTATGGAAGCCCTATTAATTCTCTTTCTAACGGTGTTTGAATTTTTGAAATTGGTGGATTGGTTCTTGAGAAATTGTATTATGAAAAATCAATAAAATATCACCTCTTTTTACTAAATCGTTAAGAATGTCAACGTAATACATTTTGAAAATGACCTCCATTCACCTCCATACGGTCCCATCTGTTTCGTTTTATTTGAGCCAAGCTGTGTAGAGACATAATAATATAAGAATACGGAACCAAATCTATGAAAGATAAGTTTGTGAAATTTTTGTATTCTAGAGTTCCATAAAGCATCGAATTTTTAATCACTGTAGCAAACTCATTACACAAACAACTATTTAAAATAAACACTCTAAATTAAATTTTCTCGACAAAAAATGTGAAAGCTAACAGACTTAGGTCCTAATTCCATTGTGCCACATACAGCCGCGATCAGAAAATTCTGGTCGTTAAAATATTTCAAAATTATATGTCACTACTGTCATTATTTGAAAATATTCCCTGGTTTAACTGTGGCATGCTGTGACTGATGTCAACCATTTGTCAATAAATCATTATAGTTATAATTGCCAAGAATTTTTTGAACTATGGCTCCGATTTCCCACGACAAAAAATACAAATAATAACTCTCATTCAAACTGGAATGCCTCAAGTGGAGGTAGCAGTCCAGTTAAGAATTCCAAAAAGCAGTTGCAATTTAATTGTAAGGGATTGGAGAGAAGGCGGCTCTCTCAAAAGGGAGCCAGGCTCTGGACGTCCGCGTAAATCTACCCAAGAAGATGACAGGACTCTAATTGAGTTTGTTAAGAATAATCCTTTTTAATCGACGGTGGAAGCTGTGAGTTTGAACAACTTCCCTACTTGGTCTCACACCGTTCGGAGACGCTTACGAGAGGCAAATCTTTGAAACTTCATAGCCTCAAAGAAACCTAGGCTTAAGCCGAGGCACAAGGAAGCACGGGTTGCATTTACATTTGCCTTTCAAAAGATTATGATTATTGAAAACATGATTGATGTATTGAGCAACGAAAAAACTCTTTAATCTTCGGCCTGCGGAAAGATCCGCGTATACTGACCCAAATATCGGCGCTATAATCCAAAATACGTGCAGAAAAATGAACCAATTCGTCGATTTTCTGTGAATCTGTGGGGTTGGATTTCTGGAAATAGTCCTGGGGCATTATTGCAAGTGGAAGAACGCCTGACAAGTCATGTTTATATCAGGATGTTGACCAAAAACTTGCAAAAAATGCGACAGCATTATGGGAATAAAAAAGAGTTCGTGGCTGCAATTACTGAATCTTGGAATAATCTTCAACAGGACTATTTCAGAAATTTATGTTTATCCACTCCCAGGCGTCTGGCTAGAATCATTGATCCAGGTGGAGAAATGATGAAATATTCTTTCTTGTTTAATTTTATCGTTCCAATGCTTTAGGCTTATTACTTCCATGTTACAATTATATTACTTTTCTAATAGCATTTTTTTTCTCATTATAGAAATTATGAATATAATGAATATAATGAATGTATAAACGTTGTAATGCACAGCAATTTGAGAACTTGAAATAAGTAACACAAGGACAAATAATGTTGAAAAAGTCACCAAACATTTTAAAGGTTACGCCATTCCATAATAGAGCACACCTCATTGTGTCAAAAATTGACTTTGACGATCACAATTTTTTGCGGGCGGCTATATGTCACATATATCGATATAGTATATTT